AATAATAAATAATAACAATAATAAATAATAATAAATAATAATAATAAATGACCCACCTGGCTGTGAATCGCCTTCCTCTTATGTGCCAACGTGCCCGCAGCTCTCAATTGATTAAACAGAATATTCTTCAGTTTCATTTTATCATTTTTAATGAAATTTACTATTTTCGCTAAATATTCCACTCGAGACCCTTCGCTAAGCTCCGCCCACTCTTTGTAACTATCAAACGGTAACTCGATATCGAACAACGTTTTGACGGCCTCCTTGACGGCCTGAAATTACAGTAATAATAACAATAATAATAAATACAATAACAATATATAATAATAATATATAATAATAAATATAATAATAAATATAATAAAAATAATAAAAAAATACCAAAACATTCGCATCCATATCATCACAGCAACACATCGAAATATAGTCGACTGCTTCCGGATGATATTTCCCCAATAGAGCCATTACCGCGCGGAAATCGTCCCAGCTGAATTATTATTACAATAATAAATATAATAACAAATAATAATAAATATATTAAATATAATAAATAATAATAAACATAATAAAATAATAATAAATAATTCCCTAACCAGGTGGTAAAATTGGTCAACTTCAATTTATACGGCTCCAGAGACTGCTGGCAAAACCGCCACAGCCTATACCTGAAATATTTATTATTTTATAATAATAATAATAAATAATAATAAATATATAAAATAACAATAAAAATAATAAAATTATAATAAAAAATAATAAATAATAATAAATATAATAAAAATACACCAAACACCCACTTCTCATCGAATTTCGCTTCCTCCTCAATATCCAGATCGCATCTTCAACAAAACATCAAATACAATAACAATAATAATAAATAATAATAATAATAAATAACAATAATAATAAATATAATAATAATAATAAATATAATAATAATAAATAATAATAAATACCTCTCGTCCACCCTCAACGGCAACGCCCTACTCGTGTCTATATTCCTCGGGTTGTCCGTATCCACCAAATACGACACCTCGTGAGGCTGTACACTGTTTAATTCTACACTTATATAGCGCGTTCTCGGGTCGATTGTGTACTTAATTTATTATTATTATTATATTTATTATTATTATATTTATTATTATTATTATCATATTTATCATTATAATTATTATTATTCGCTATCGTCAGTCCTTTCAAGCCCTCGTAGGTTCAATCCCTCACAGCGTCCCAATTTTTTGCAAATTAATAATAATAATAATATATAACTCCACCTATATATATTACTATACATTATTACCTACTATATAATTATTATATACATCATACAATATTAATTATTATTACATATTATATATACATTACTACATATTATCTATTATTGTATCTATTATATGTTATCTATTATTATACTATTATCTATTATTATACTATATTATACAATTATATCTATTATATATTATTTATTATTATTATTATTATTATATATTATTAATACACAACAAAATAACCTTCTGCAGTTGTTTATGCAGATTATCGGGTGTGGTCTGCGCGAGTAGACGGTAAACACTCTCCCTCTCAGCTAGCACCAGCATAATACCGTCCTGGTTCAGTCCGTACGCACGCATCATCCACGCCGTATCCAATACGCCTAGAAAACCGCGCGCGCAACCCGATCCGGTGGGCCAGAAGGGCTGAAATTAATTAATTAATTAATTATAATAATTAATAACAATAATAAATAACAATGACAAATAATAAATAATAATAATAAATAATAAAAAATACCTCATGCAGAGTATCCCCCACAATAGAAACCAATAATCTCTGCCCGAATCGCTCAAATAACCTCACTGAACACTTTGCTGAGAACAACGATGTGAAATCGAACATAGCCACATCCTCTCTCTGAATATTATTTTCAATAATAATAATAATAATAAATATTATAATATATAATAATAAATATAATAATAAATATTTATTATATATAATAATAATATATAAAAATACCTGATTATGATTCTTCGAGAATTTCAATTCAGGCAAACGATATTCAGTCGCGAAATCGGCCGCCTGCATTGCATACTCGCATAATTTTTCCTGCAATATTTATTATTTATTATTAATATATTCATTATTATATATAAATAATTATTACATATATATATTTATTATTATATATAAATAAACAAAACAATCAATAATTCGAACCTGATTTACATTGCTTGGTGCCAACAACAGCGAAATATCTTCATTATCCTCAAATATTATACATTAATAAATAACAATAATAAATAATAATAAATAACAACAATAACAATAATAATAAATAATAACAATAATAATAAATAATAATAAAAAATACCTCGCAAATCACCCCCTTCTCAATCAAACTCTGCTTTTTCGCACACATCACGAAGTAGTGTGTATCGTCCTTGTAGTACACAATATTCTCCAGATCCACCCCCGTCCTCTCCTTCATCTCCTTGAAGAATTGCTGATTGAAGATATACGCCACACCACTGCAATTATTATTATTAATTATTAATATACGACGAAATATATAATATTATTATTAATAATATAAATTAATACCATTATTATCAATAATATAAATACGAAATAAAACATTAATACTATAAATTATACCTACTATAAATTAACACTATTATTATTAATAATATAAATACGAAATATAATATTAATACTATAAATTACATCTATTATAAATCAATAATACTATTATTAATAATATAAATACGATATATAATATTAATACTACAAATTCTCAACAATACACACCCAATATGAACGATCACATAAAATGAAACGCAAAAAAAATCTATCCTAAAAACTACAACAACCATCCAAACACGCCAACACACCCACCCACGCACC